CCTTGCAGGGTCTGCTAGCTGGGTGCTGGCAGGCTTGCACCTGGCATGGGCACCATAGCCAGACCGTGCCTCTTTAAGTGTTCCGGGGCCGGGAGGGGGGCAGACAAGTCTCCCTGGTGGTGCCCAGAGTGGCCACCAGGGCAAGCTGGGGAGGGCTAGCCTCCTACTAGTTTGAATTAAGTGGCTACACAGCCCTTAATTCGAACTACTTAATTCGAACTAGGCGTTAGTCCTCGTGCAATGAGGTTTACCTAGTTCGAATTAAGCGCTCCGCTAGTTCGAATTAAGTTCCAACTAGTGGTTTGTATGTGTAGCGCCTATTAAAGTTAATTCGAACTAACGTCTGTTAGTTCGAATTAACTTTGTAGTGTAGACATACCCTCATTTAGTAATGTTAACTCCCATACAATGAATATTAATGAGCAGGTGATACCCATCCCTGTTTGTTGTTTACTGGTTTTTAGTTGAATCAGCATTACACACTGTCTTGATCAGCAGCTCGCAGGGAGGGGGAAAGAGCTCTGTCCCTGAAAATATTTTTACAGAGCAAGTAAGAAGTCAAAACAAGACACTGTTCAGTCTAACGATCTTTCTAGATGGCAAGGACAAAGGGGCAAAATCTGCTAAAAGGGCAATGCTTGTTGTGGCTGGACCCCTCACCACTATCCCAGACCCGTTAATTGTTACCTATCCCAACAGAGCCTAATATGCTAAACAGAGGGGGTTTGAATGAGCAATCTCTCACTCTGATTGAGGATACAAGCAAGCTGCATCTGCCTTGGGGCTTGGCTTCTTGTTCCCTGTTCCAAGTCCTTTGTCTTCCCGAATTTCTTTCAGGGTGTGAGTTGTGGTGGAGTGACGAAAAATCGTGATGTCACGCCCACCTTAGACAGTGTCCCCATACAGCGGGAACCCTTTGTTTCAAGCTAAATTCCCAGCCCAGTTTGTGGAAAGTACTGGCATCAAAGTGGAGTTTAGTGCTGTAGTCTGGTCACAGGCCCTTGCATGCCTGGCTGAGCCATAGCAGCCATTCCCAGGAAGGCTTACTTGGTGCGGGATAAGCTCCTAAGGCCTACTGTTTGCCCTAAGGGCCCCTTCCCTCAAATAGGCCCTTTACAATCAGCTGTCTAGGCTGGAAGCATCTTGCCTAGAGGGTGTCACCTGGGTGCAGCCACATTTGAAATACAGATACACCATCAATATTCATGACTCCAGACATAAAAATGCTACTTGCACAAAAATAGGATAATCGTATTCAGCAAATTATAACTTTTCCAACAACCCCTGACATGCCACACCTTGTACACAAGCCATTGTAAGTATGTCACCAGCGCTCGACAAATAGTGTAATCTACTCGCCCGTGGCGAGTAGATTACACCCCGGAAGAGCCGGCGCGGAGCGACCTGCACATGTGCAGAACCATGCGGCAGGCGAGCTGGGCTCGCCCCTGCTCGACGACTCCTGGTTGTAACCATGTCACAATCATACTACTATGATGAATGGGGGGTGCAGCGTCACAGCCCATATACCTTGTTACATGCTGTAATATTATCAGTGGGGATCCTACAGAATTTTGTCTGTATTGTTCCTCCACCTTTCTCCTCTGTCCCTCAGATGTGACCTTGACTTGTACAAGTGCTCTAGCAATGTCCCTGTCTGTTATAAATGAATGTGCTCTGCAGGTGATTTCTACCCTTCGTGAGAACTTGGATCTGTCGTCATGTGTGTTACCTCCTCAGACACTGTCTTCCCAGAACAAACTCAAAAGCCAGCCACAAACAAGGTATTTGCATTGCATCTGCACAAGCATCGTTTGCCCAGGGTGCTATCTCCTCTGGCATGATCGGTGCTTCGGCCTGTGTCCCTTCCAGCCAGCATCACTGCAACCCCGGGTCTGCTGCCATATCTTGTCTGGATGGCACTCTCCACGGTCCGTCGCACAGCAGGATCTCTTCCAGCCATGCCACCCTGTAGCAGCTGTGCTGGCACACCCATTCCGGCTTGTGCCGCCGCGATTTCATCCTTCACCCCCCAGGCTGGCATTTGCACCACTGTCCCCATTCTCCTGTCACCGCACGATCCCAGGCTGGCACTGTCCTGCCAGCATCCTGGCTATCGCTTGCCTTCCAGTGGGTGGTGCTGCAGCTGCTCCTCGGAGTGCTGAGGTGACCGTTACTTCTCACAACAAGACCCAGGTAACAGCAGAGCAATTCTGTCCCTCTCTGGTTGTTTGCAGTTCCTCCACCAGCCAAGTGAGCAGTAGCCAGAACTGTGTCAAGCTCCTTTTTGATGTGGTCAAGTTGGCGGTGCGATTTCAGAAAGGCATTTCTGAAGCGTGGATTAAGGTCAGACTGTGCTTTCCAGGGTGTCTGCGGTTTTTAATGTAATTAGAACATTAACTGCAACTTTAGTCACTTGCAAATGCTGTTCTCAGAACTACCGAGTGTTGCGCTTTGATCCGTGCAGGCAGTGGAACGAACCGTTTTCAGTGCTATCCATGCTTCGCACTGTGCAGCTACAGATCGCACGGTGCTCTCAGGCCTGAGTTAGCCGCACAGAGCGAGGACCCCCGGCACGGGGGAAGTCCAACGCTGTGTGTTCACACGAGCACTATTTTGTAAATTTGAGCTTTAGCCATTCTGGGCCTCAGTCTCCTCGTCTGTGAAGTGTGGGAAATGCTTTTGCTGTTAGCTCAGTAACTCTGAGGCTTGCTATTGCTGTTGACTTGCCCAGCAGTGACTGATCCTGCCCGGGGGGCCGAGTTCCATTTGGAATGACGGGCAGGGGCTGGACTTGCTTTCTTCCTCCCAGTTCTTTGTCTATTACTCAGGATCCCCGCTGCTTTCTCAAAGGCAGAAGTTGCTGGAGTGTCCTCAGGCAAGCTGCAACTTTGCACATTATTCAGGTGGGAGGATGTAGGAGTAGAGGGAAAGA